CTTGCATTTGATCTGAAACATGAAGTGTTTCGACAGATATCACTTCCAGAAATTCTTGGCACATATTTTTGTGGACGGGTATCCTTTAAAGGGGCTTTCGGCATATGTCCTTGTTTACATTATGACAACAAGAGAGTCACTTGCTATGGTTCAGTTAAAGGAGTACATTGTTGAAGATTATTAAATAGGAGCTAACATTTTTTCTACGTGGATTATGAAACAATACGGAACGATGAGTCATGAATAAAAAATTAAAAATCTTCTCAATGCCTGTAGAAGATATAGATCTTGAACACATCATTACTACAAGTGATGAATAGTGGCAAGTTTGTAGGTACAATCCAGTAACTTCAACCAATGTTCTTTTGGGAGCTATGAAAAATAGCGTTTTCTTTGGTTACCATACGGGGAGCTTATATTTAATTACTAGAAAAAAAGGAAGACGCTAATTCCTATTAATATATATATATATATATATATATATATATATATGCTGGTTAGATGGATAGGGAGAATGAAAAGTTTACTATTTAATTTGTTGTTTTGATATTTATCAAAGGACTTCATTTTCTATTCATTTTCAGCTTAGAAATATCTATTGATTGCCATCTGTTTTAAGTTATCGGGCTCTGATTAATCGTGATATTGGTTAATTATATTTTTTTTTATACAAATGACTTGAAGAGCTTGGTTTATATCTGGATTTTATTTATTAAAATAATTTATGGAAGTATAATTATCAAAAGGCTATGAATTTTATAAATTTAGACTAAAGTATACATTTGGTCATCTAACCTTGTACAAAGTTTCAATTTGATTCCTTATCTTTAAAAAGCATACATTTGGTCCTTTAACTCTAAAATCATTAGGTTTTAATGATGGATTTTTATAACAATCATAAATGTTTTGAAAATTAAATTTAACATGTTAGCATTTGAGAATATTTTATCAACATTTAAGATCTTAATGTCATCATTTTTAAAAAAAAATTTAGGGTTAAAGGACTAAAAGTATATTTTTTAAAGTTAAGTGACTAAATTGAAACATTGCACAAAGTTAAAGGACTAAATATACACTTTAGCCTATAAAGTTATTTACACTTTCGTGATTGTAATTTTTATTTAAATATATTTTTCATTTAATAATAAGGCTAAAGTATACCTTTAAATATATTTTTAATGGAAGCTTCATTTAATAATTATTATTGAAAATAATAATAACTGTTATTATGTAAATATAATTTTTCATTTAATAATAATTATTAACAATAATTATCATATTAAATAAATTTTTATTCAATCATCCTTATCAATAAAACTTATAAATCTCTTCCACTCAAGCCAGTTCCAAACAATGGCTTCATACCGGCTCTACACACAAATCACTGTTAATAAGAAAGATATGGCTTGATGATCAAACAAAAAATTTGCATTGGGCTTTGTTCAAGCCAAATTCCACATTAATGAAGCCTGGGGTTTCGAGTAAGCCAATGTATTTTGAAATGAAGCCAACTTGCAAAATGTTTGAATTTCTCCCACCTGAATTCTGCGTCCTCTCTGAATCATTATAAGACAAAACTTCAAAAATCATACAATCTCTTAAAAGGAATATTATAATACAAAATCATAATATAAATACAAAAAATCAATATCTCAAGCTAATCAATGATATGGTACCTACATATTAAAATGTTAAAACATCCAAGCAATTGGATGACATAGAATGATACTCAAATTTCATTTTAAAAAAAAGGCTAAAGTATGATGAAAATAGAGTAAGAACCAAGGTTACTCCACAATACAGGTGGATGCTTGAATGTTTTCGACTATCTCATCACAAGCATAACCTTCCTAGTATTCTTATTTGTTAAAAACTTAATAGTACCCTTGCCTCTCTCCTTCTATCAAATCCCAGCAACTTCTCCTCCACTATCATGGTCATCACCTCAAAATGAGTAAAATGCAACTTCTGAGAAATGGATACTATATTCTCAATTCATGAATTGATTATTACAATGGAGAGGAAATATGAAAAAACACTTGAGACAAAAAGAACTACAACAATGAAAAAAGGGGAGAGAGAAGGAGTCGAAACAAAACAAAATATGGAACAAAAATCAGAAACCTATAGGCTAGATGAACGTGCCATCTCCTTTTCACCATCCATAGATTCGAAGACAGTGTTCTATATCTAGATTCGTAGCTCCCTCCTATCCTCTTCATTAAGGCATTGAAAGTCAGGATGTGGATCTATAAATATTCAAGATAGAGATGATGATGATGATGAGCCAACGAGGTAAAACAACTAATGGAAACTAACTCTATAACATGCATAACATCCCATGCTTCTTCTAAATAGGCCTATCCACCCTATCTAGTGACTAACTCATTCAATCACAATGATAATGGAATATCAGGAAAAAAATGAAAAGCATTCAATTAATTAACTCAAACACGAGCAAGGCTAACCTGTCCTAATTGAAAATGAGGCAACAAAGCCTTTATTGTCATCTTCTTAGCTACATGTAAAAAATGGAGCCTCGTGGCCACCACCATGGAGAATAATAAAATAAGACTTCTAATGTAATCTTGTGCCAGTGGTTTGTTATAGCCCTGTCATCTTTATCGTCCATGAAAAAAAAGATAGCAAAAAGCTCAAATTGGTGTCTTCCTATAATACCAAATCTACTCAAAACACTTTGACATTATAAAGCTGGAGAATAAAGAGTTTGGGCAATGAAAACGTAACAACTCTGGATTTACAAGTTCCCCTTTCACGGGGTAGCACATTATTGCAGCGCCTGGGAATGAATGGGAAGGAAGACTCGAGTAGTTTCTTCATTAGCCAGAAGGAATTTGTCTCCAGTGGCATCATTGAGCACTTTGTTGGAGCGCATTAGTAATTATTATTTAGTTGTAAATAGTAATAAACAGTTAATAATAAAAATATATATTATGAAAAGTCACTGTGTTTGGTGTGAGAGAATTGGTGAGAAGGGAAAGGCAGAAAAAAATCTTAATAAGTTTGATTTGAAAAATCGGAGAAATATGATTATAAAATTTTAACAAAGAAAAAATGTAAGATAAAAAGAGTAACAATTAGTTAAAAGTTTTTAACTCTAATTTTTTAATTTTTTTAAATCGAGTTTATTAAAATTTTGTTTTATTCCTTTTTTTTTATTTTTCTCGTACCAAATGGATCTTAAATCAGGCTTTCATTAGATTCAGATATTTTCATTTTATTGTCCTGGATTATAGGCCTGATAGAGAATGGGCTTTTTGTCAAATTAATAATGATTTTTTTGGTACAAAAATTAATGATGATTCATTCCAATAGCAATGTCAAAAAATTTTAATTTTTGTACCCAAAAAAATTTAATTTGTGAAAGCATTAAGGCGCTATGAAGCTGATGATGGCTAATAAATAAAAATTACAAAAAAACATGTATTGTGAAAGCATTAAGACACATGTAAATAGTATAAAAAAAAAAAACTTCTGCATGATGGTGGAAACTGTTCTAAAAAATAACTTCTAACATTGTGTACCATGAGAAAGTTAGAAATTTGCAAACAATATCAAAATATGAAGTTTTAATGCTGTCATAATCAATTAATCATAATGAAGTTGGTTGATGAAATTGTTTCATGAAATCTATTTGCTTAGCATGAAAAGTAAGAGTTTTTTTAATTACAATTAAGATGAAACTATTCCAGAATTACAAGCGATGCGCGGGGAACCATGTGCTAGTTAACAAGGGTAACTAGAATCTAAAATTATGACTTATTGGGATTTTAAAGAAAATAGCCAAACAAAATAAATAGATTTCATAATCACTCATTTAAACTCAAACGCGCGCTAAATCAAATAGTGAGACCTAATTAATTGAACTTCAGCATTAATATTGAAAGAGAATGTCTCTAAAAGTAAAATTTTAAAAAAAAAATTTATGAATCAGAGAGGGCCTCTCTCAAAATTGGCGATTTGAAAGCTAATTAAACACTAAGATAAAAAGAAAAACTAACTAAACGCTCCGTGGATTTATTCCGTTAATTTTTTGCTTTCCATATGCTATGCCTGGTCAATGAAAGAATGAGTACACACATAATGTGCTCACTAATGAATTATGTAAATACTAAATAGTAAATTTTTTAGGAGAAAAAGAGTATGTGGATAAAATACTTAAATATTTCTAAAGTATTTATGAATAAGCACTTAGCACTTGGAATTTTTTAGCTCTTATTTGCTCTGAAATTTTTATTTCATAGCACTTTTATTCTGAACTATTATCCGCTTTTAAGTTTAACTTTTAAAAATATTAATCAAACCATATAATTTACTAGTTAAACTTAACAACGTCAAGATATTTTTGTTATGAAAATAAATTTTTAAGATATATAAAAATAATAAAAAAATTCTAGATGTTAGATGCTTCTTTATGAATGCTTTTAGAGCATTTAAGCATCTTCTCTCAAATATCAATAGAGAACAAAGAAGATACAATTACAAAATGTCACGAAATGTCTTCACATGTGTTAATACTGCATCTTCTTTTAGCTTAAATGCTTAATGGATTACACGTGGGTGATTATTGTTTATGAAATGAGTATATATACCTGTTTTCTTCAACATAAACAAGTCTTGCATTGCTAAATTACAAGCATTACGATTTAGGAGAGCTAAATTATTCATATATTTAGGCAAAAGTACATTTTTCGAAAGGTTTTGGCCACAGAAAGCTCTGTTGAGTAAGGGAACCAGGTTGAAGATACTTGCATGAACTTAGATTTGAAAATATGCTAGAGGAACGTGTTCAGTGGAGGAACTTGGATATTTTGAGCAGTTTGGGGCCGAATTTAATAGCCATGGGGCTATCCAAGACAGCTCCTTTACTGCAGGATTCAGAAGAACCCTTTTATGGAAAGGTTGGTGGGGACTGATAGACTGTCGCTCTAATCCCCTGCGATTAAAGAAGACATAACTCTTTGTACTGCTATGAGTGAAGGAGACTGACACTAGCAGTTGAAGCCCGAAGCAGAGCAGGAAGAGTTTTCATGGCCATGGCTACTACCTCTCCTTTTCTTCATCCTCTCTGCAATCTCCATTTCCCAAGATGCCGCTCCCTTCCTTTGAATTCCCCGTTTCCTCCTCGGCTTCATTTTCTCCCTCCTCGCTTCCCTTCCTCCTCATCTATCCATGCATGTGTGGAGTCGGTATATTTTTTTAGTTTTCAACATGGTTGTTTATTTGTCAGAACTATATATACATGCTCGTCGAATATATGTTCTTCTTACTTCAATTCATGTCAAGGTTTTAGCTTTAATTTGTTGCCTTCAGGATATAAGTAGGCGGCAGGATCAAGCTAACGAAGCTGACTTCTTTGCATGCCCAGTATGTTAGGAGCCTCTGATAAGAAATGGTCCTTCATGTCTTAACGTGTAAGTTCAGGAAGAAATTAATGTACACGTGTGTAGTCATTCTGAACGTATCTGAAAATCCAATCTGATAGTTATTCACTTGATGGCCGCGGAACTTCAGATCAGCAATCTCCAGGTCTGGTTTTAAGTGTAAAATGTGCACTAAATCATACTCTAGCAAAGCCATGTATCTGGATTTGACTGTCACTTCTGGGTTGACGGTTACACTGAAGTTCAACCAAGAAATATTGAAATTTTCAGGTATAAATAGATTAGTGATCTAATTCAATTTCACAGCTTAAGGGTATCATTGCAGATCCATTTTTCTGACCCCCATCTGTATTTCTGTTTCCAGATGAATTCTTGTTTTAGCATATATAATGAAAAGCTGTCACCTAATAAGACTATAAGAGTTTTGACATGGCTAATCATATGGGAAAGTTCTTATGTTCTCCTTCTGTTTTAATAATCCATTAGGAATCCACTTGTTTCATTCTTTTATGAAAGAGGCTGGCGTCAGATTTTCAATCAAACTGGTTTTCCTGGTCCTCATGAGGAGGTATGCTATCAATGCCCCTTTGCTGTGGTTGTAACGTGTGATAATTGCACATGTTAAATGTTCTATCAAATAGTAGTTCTGGCTAATACATATGATTAGCAAGAGTATTTTAGAAGACAACATCTATTTATTACAAATAACTAACTTAGCTAACTTTTTTAGTATTAAAAACCAGAGGTAGTATAACCTTAAAAAGAGTAATATTTAAATAAAAAGGCATTAATTCACAAGTAAATGGAATATTCATGTATAAACCACACATAATCTGACAGAACAGAGTTAATGAAGCACAAATATAACAGACTACTATTTTTTTCCTAACTCAAAACAACATTGTTTTAGGCCCAGCAATAGGAGAAAAAAATATAAAATTCAATCTAATCGACCCATTCAAAACTCTTAACGGGACTAACTTGGGACCAGTTTACTAGGCTAACCAGTCCACCTAATTTGAGTTTTAATATCATGCTATATCCTATTCCATATGATATTGGAATTAATATCTTGTCCGCTGCTCATAACCTCAAATCCGCACTCTGTTTTCTTTCTGGTTGAAGTCTCAAACAGAAATCGTCGCTTTGAGTTTTGCCTTTTCCAATGTGAATTGTGGTTACTTTCACCTTATAGATGTGATTTGAATCGTTTTCTATGCACTGTGTCTTACCATTCGCGTACCATGACACTGCAAATTTGAACTTTTTAAAGATTGCTGAAATCACCCGCATACTAAGAAGTGGTGGTGTCTTAGTTGGAACCACTTTTCAGCGCTATACTCCATCGATTCCTTCAACTGTACAGCCTCTCCTAGAGGTAAACTCCGATCATAGTTATCTTTAATCTTAGAAGGCTTTGTTGTACTAGTGCACAATTTTACCATTTTAGTCAGTGAATGAGTTTATGAATGGGTATTTGATCGTTAGAATGTTTAGAAGCAAGGAGGCAGAAATATGGGAAACAATGTAAATTATCTTTAATGTGTCGTCTCCTTCCAAATTGAAGCAACCTAGAAACATGGAAGTTGACAGTTAACTAGGAAGTCTTCATTTCTCCCATGTTTAGGTCCTGTCATACTTGGGAGGTTCTATAACTATTGATGAGTGATTTGTGTTTATGATGCAAAAAAATTCCATGGAAGTTAACATGAAGTTGTTGTGGGATGCAGATATTAGTTATGCAGCGTTATAACTATTTGACAGGGGAAGAGATAGAAGACCTTTGCACATCCTGCGGCCTTACCAATTATTCGTGAAAAATTCAGCAGTCTTTTATTATGTTTTCTGCTCAGAAACCTTAAACAACCCAGGTTTCCTCTATTTCCTGTTCTTTATATTTGTGAGTGAAGCTGGAGGGGGCAAGGAGTTGCTGTGTTTCAATAAAAGGAGAGGTTTGACGGTGGTCGCCATTATTGTATCTTCTCAAAGTTCAGTGAAGCTTATCACAAAATACAAAAAGGGTTCAGTGAAGCGGTTCATGCAGTTTCTTTATCTTCAAATTCTCTGATCCATCTTATCTATGCAAGAGGAGACCTCTAATTTCATTTGGTATTTGTATTTCTTGTTTCAAAGCGATTTCTTCTACCACACTGTTTCAGATCTCGTACATTTTCTTCTTCCTCCGGTATTTGTGTCCTTTTGCCCCATTCAGTTTTCGTTTGGGGAAAAGAAAAATCCAACGCAGTCAAAACCATTGAAACTGGTTTATTTTCTTTTCCCCAGTTTATGTCTAAACTGAACCTAGCACTGATTTGTTGATCTTTCCAGTCCAACTGGCCAATCTAGTCTGGTTCTAACAACCTTATTAATCTATATTGGGCATGTGCTTCTCTTTGTTTAATTGTGATTGAATTGGATAGCATTAAACCAATAACTTAAACGATTTAGAGCTTGTTTGGCTCAGCGTTTCAGGGCCAATAAGCAGCTTATAAGCCTGATTGTAAATTTTGATGTTGTTTGGTTAAGCGATTGGGCAATCTGATTTTTGTATGAAAAGCTACAATAAGCTACAAGCTAAAATTAATAGCTTATGACTTATAGCTTTTGAAACATAGAAAGAGAAAAAGTTAAAAAATTTATTACCTCATTTGGTTCTTATTATAAGTTTCAAATAACTAATTTGTAGATAACAAAAAATCAGTTAAAATTAGTTAAAAGTAATAAATAAATTAGAAACATACTTTTATTTTTTAAATATGCTCCTAGAACTATACTTTTATTTTTTTTCATGTTTCACTTTATATTTAAAATATTTTTTATGATTTCTCTAAAGTTTTAAAATCTAATTCACTCATTAAATTTGACTTTTTCATATTAAATTATTTTAATTTCATTGTATTATGTGAAATTATTTTTTTAATCATGTTTCATTATTTATCAAAACTCATATCTATTTTGGTCATTTTATAATCAAACTTATTTTTTATCAACTATAATCTAAATAACTTTTTATCAATCTCACTTGTGCAAACTAGTTTTTCTGAACTCCAATCCAAATACAATTCAACTTATCCAATTTAGCTTTTACCCAACTTCACTTTTCTAAAAGTTACTTTTTTAATAAGCTACTTTTTCAATCGCTGATCCAAATGAACTCTTAGTAACCCATCCAACTTTAAAATATTACGCAAGGGACATTTTCAATTCTCGAAAAGAGTATTAAGTTTAAATTCATGTTGGTTTCAACTTTCGTTTCAAAATAGTCATTATAAACTCCCAAAAATCAAACCCAGCTCCTTTTTTAAAATAAAAAGAAAAACACAAGCCAAAGTGGCTAGGTGAAGAAAACAATTCGAAAGGCACCTGTTTTGACTGCTTTGAGTTATCAATGATGAACCAATTTATGCAAAATCACATATTTATACTCCTCAATATTTACTTGCTATTAATTTTTAACATCCTCACGCATCACATGAGAAGCATAAATCTAATTTTAAAATATCTGCTAACAAGATGTTACGTACAAGGAGTACGCGTAAAAGAGCTTATTGAAAACAAACAAAACAAAATTGTACATAATCAAATTACAACCTTATTGCCACAAGGGTATATTACGTGGTTGTAGAAGATTTAACCAGAAGCTAAACCCAACGATCCTCCAGCAATTCCAAGAACTCTATTTCTGTGATCAATAAAACGATAAACATTGAAAAAAATGTTATAATATGCACAACATAATGAATGCAAGCATAGTCAATGTAAATAGACACTTGGCTTCAAGAAACGCACAATAATAGGACGTATAATATGCATGGGTCATTCATTATTACCTCAAGTGATTCAGGGATCACCACTTAATGCTTTCACATTATAGGTTCAACTAGGTTCCTCGGGAGGGAGAATCCGGCTGGTTCTCCGGTGAAGCATCTTGGATTGCCGGGACCTCATCGTAAGATTCCCTCAATCTTGCTAGAAGGGGAAACTCTGTCTGCATGCATGATAATGTCTTAGCTGATGAATTTAATCCTTGCGGTTCAATGTATAATTGAAGATTATGGAAACAACAGAAGAGTAACAGTTCACCGTTTTTCCATAGGGTTACTCATAAAGGAAAACTAAAGCTTATAAGGGTTAACTACTATAAAAAGATCAATTAAACAGGTGAAAAAGAAAATGTGGGAAAAAATGAATTGGCTATTACAAATCGCAAGCTAATAACAAAGAAAAGGCTTTAATCTGGACCGTACTCATAACCCTTCATCACCTCCTTGTATTCTTGATCAAATGGCCTATGACTAATTAAATATAGGGATAAGGTGCTTAAATATTCCAAAAGCATACATGAAGGAGCATCCAACACCTGAAAGTTTTTTTTACTCTTATATGTCCTGAAAATTTATTTTCGTAGCAAAAATACTCAGGCCGCTATCTACTGTTAAGTTTGACTATTAAATTATATGGTTTGACCTGTGACTTTAATGGTCAAACTTAATTATGGATAATGGTTGAGAGCAAAAATACTACAAAACAAACTTTCAGGGCATATAAGAGCAAAAAAACAAAATTCTAGATGCTGGATGCTCCTTTGTGGATACTTTCGGAGTATTTTAGTACCTTATCCCTTAAATATTTAGAACATTGGTTACATTAAACACTTATGAATGATCAGCAAGTGGCAAAAGGCTTGTAAGTCACCAGAGTTAAGCGAGAAACTAACAATGAGATCTGAGGGGACACTAGATAAGGACTGGTCTCACTCATCCAAAAACCACTCCACCAGAATCTAAAGCTATGGATTAAAACACCCTTTACGTTAAATTTTAAGAATGGTGACAAGGAAGATCACACCCTCGACCACTAAATCAAAGAGGCAGAATTATTGCAGAGTAATACGATTCAGATACTTCGATACCACCATACTAGTCTTGGCCAAAACGAGGGTATAAAGATACAGAACATTACCATATCAACATTGAACCTTCTCGCAGCAACTAATTGAGGTGCTAAAAACAAATCTGCCTGTAAATGAGAGTCAATTTGTAGATTAGTCAAGCAACATAAAGTCAAAAGTCAAACTCAACAGATATAAACCTACTCCACATGGCTCTAGCTAATCTTGTTATCATTTGCAATCACTGATTTGGGAATGAAATAGACCAGACCAGAAGACAGAATTACACAGCATATTATATTTTGTTGCGAGAAGGATGAAAGGTGCTATCTTTACCCAATTTTTGCATATTGGAACTAGGCAAGGGAGTTATGAGGTTCTTATTATATTATGGACAAATTTCCAGAGAAGAAAAAATTCCGTTTGGAACTATATCAAGGGTTTAATTTAGGCTGTCCATGGTGATTCACTGTGCTGAAGAAATAATGACAATCAACTTAACTTTAACCATGCTCAATTAAATTATATTTTTAGAGTAAGTCCAAATTGCATAGATTATCATATTAATGTCAAGATGTGAAAATAAATAGGGCAGAGATGCATACCAGGAAAATTTCATCTCCAGTAGCATATCTTCCTGTCTGGCCTGTCAATAGTTTTTCAATAGCTGA